AATACTTATCTATTTATATGCCTAAATATTTTACAACATAATACAACACAACAAATTAAATTTCTCTAGTTTAGAATTTAAATTGAGGATATTTAGCTGTCGTCCCAGGGGCGGTCCATAAAATAAGTCACGCTATTTATTACCATTTTTACCCCCTTCTCCCCCCTGTCACAAATCTCGGACCCCACCCCCCTAAAGTACGTCACACTTTCGAAAAATTTAAACAAAAAATTAACACCTAATTAAAATTTAATATAAAACACACTTCACCATTAAACTGTATTAAAATATAAAATTTACACTTAAAAGAACTATCGCATTATTAAAATTACTTTAATAGTAGAATAGTTATTTGTCGACCGTTGTCACAGTTATTCATTGAAGCAGTAACTCAATCTAGATTGAATTTGAAAACAAAAATTGCAAAAATTAGACTAGACAATTGTATAATACAGATCAATTATCTGCTCTTTTTCATTTACAAAAGGTGAGGTCAAGTTTTAGATAATTTCCGATTATGCAAATCTTTTTACACAGGATAGGAAGTAGATTAGCGAAACTTGACCTCTCCCAATGATTAAATAATGAAAAGGAATCAAAACAATTTGTCTAAAAAAAGACTAGGTTGACAAATTTTGTGACAAACTCTTGTGCTATATTGAATCTGTTTATTATGGGCCTGTAAATTATGTTTAATTCTAAAATATTCACTGGACATCATCCATCCATAGTGAAGTGAAGTGTTGCGACTGGCATCGATCTTTCACCATCATCGTTTCCTGAAAGGATAATTGCAGACATATCAACTTCATCCTCATGTAGCCAATCAACATCCCCTGAATGTGCATTTTCTCTTCGGGTAATAACTGCCATGAGTTCTCTCTGCCTTCTAGCAGCGATTCTCAAAGGACTGATGCGTTTTATCTGAGTTGATTCTGGAACAGTTTTGGTTGGCACATTCTCCCGAGTCCGAGCTCTGTGTTTTCCTGAATGTTTCTCCGACATTGTTTGTGAGGCAAATTATAAGTGACATCTTTGCAAATTCGATCAAGTAGGCTGATCTGCAAAGATGGACAATAAAGATCATATAGTTGTTCTTTGAAAACTCCTGTTGATCTCGGCATTTTATACATAAAACAAGGCTTCGCAACAGCATACTAGCGCTCCTAGCGAGAGGAATCGTGAACAACACATTCTGGAGATACGCATTTCATGCTATTTTGACATAAAACTAATTCAAATGTTTCAGAAAATTTTGGAAAATTGTTTTTAAGGCAATTAAATTCTACTACAAAAATAAAAAAAATAAATTAGAAATAAAATTTTAAAAAAATAAATGTGTGACACTTTCTTACACCCCTTCCCCCCCCCTCCTCCTTCTGGACGTACTTTATGGACGGCCCCCCCTCCCCCCGCCATCATTAAAACCTCCTTCTTATCTAATATAAAGTAACAATTATCTGGATGGTAATTTTTATCAGGGGGTAAATGTTTTGAAAGCGAGAGGGGTTGGGCCATGCAACCAGGCAGGTTCTAGAAAAAATAAAAAAAAAAAAAAATTCTTTTATCAGATCAAAAAAAAAAAAAATGAATAAGCAAGTTAGTAGAAAAAAAAATAAACAAACTTCGGTGACCTCAATTCAAGCACACATAATACAGAAAATCAGAGCGTATCAACGGTTTTGATGACCCACTAAATTCAATGCAGTTATAAGGCCACATTTTTCAATTAATTGAAAACAAACTCTGTTAATGAGACGAAAAATTATCAAATATTAATTTGATTTAAATGGAAAGCTATGCCGAAGAAATGCTCATAATGTTCTAGAATAATTTTTTTGTTTTTTTTTGGGGGGGTGGGGTGGGGAGTGGGGGTGGCTAGAAGGGGGGGAGGGGACCGAAAATAGAGTACCAAAGACGAAATGAACAAAACTTGACTTTTTTTTTCTTTTACACTAAAAAAAATTTGCCGCTAATTTATGTTTTTTTGGGAGATCTGGGGGCTAATGATGACATGAAAAGAAGAGTTCCATAGTGTAGACGGAAAATAGGCCACATGCTGATGAGAATTCAGAACCAAGTACACGATATTGACTCGTTCGTCCAACATTTCTTGTTGATAAGCTTGTGGGACATAGGATAAACCTCAAGTAACCCGATTGCAGCTATTTCTGTCCGCTTTGAATAGAAGCGTGATATTGTGAGGGTTGGGGGAGTGGGGGTATAGCTTTAACAAGGTCAACATTTACTTCATTTAGATTTGGTTTTGAACAAATTTACTTTCGTTTCGATCACAGCATTGTCTTTTCTAAAGTCTAAACAGAGACAAATACATTTTAATCAGAATCTTAAAACGCATAAGTTTCCAATTTCTATCTTAATTATTTATTTATTTTTATTTTTTGGCTCATCTGCTGAAGGAGGCATCTAACTTAGGGTGACCGAATCTTGAACTGAAAAAAAAAAAAAAACGGGACACCCCCAAAGAGGATTGTTGGGGGGGGGATACCCTCCAGTTAAAGAGGAATACGGGGGCGTCCGTTGGAAACTTTTTATTGAAATATGCTCATTTTATCTATTTTGAGACCTAGAAATCTTCTTAAATTTACCTTCACTTTTGTAATTAATTTAAACTCTGAGGCATACCATAAACGAAAACAATACCTTTGCAGTGAATACTTATCTATTTATATGCCTAAATATTTTACAACATAATACAACACAACAAATTAAATTTCTCTAGTTTAGAATTTAAATTGAGGATATTTAGCTGTCGTCCCAGGGGCGGTCCATAAAATAAGTCACGCTATTTATTACCATTTTTACCCCCTTCTCCCCCCTGTCACAAATCTCGGACCCCACCCCCCTAAAGTACGTCACACTTTCGAAAAATTTAAACAAAAAATTAACACCTAATTAAAATTTAATATAAAACACACTTCACCATTAAACTGTATTAAAATATAAAATTTACACTTAAAAGAACTATCGCATTATTAAAATTACTTTAATAGTAGAATAGTTATTTGTCGACCGTTGTCACAGTTATTCATTGAAGCAGTAACTCAATCTAGATTGAATTTGAAAACAAAAATTGCAAAAATTAGACTAGACAATTGTATAATACAGATCAATTATCTGCTCTTTTTCATTTACAAAAGGTGAGGTCAAGTTTTAGATAATTTCCGATTATGCAAATCTTTTTACACAGGATAGGAAGTAGATTAGCGAAACTTGACCTCTCCCAATGATTAAATAATGAAAAGGAATCAAAACAATTTGTCTAAAAAAAGACTAGGTTGACAAATTTTGTGACAAACTCTTGTGCTATATTGAATCTGTTTATTATGGGCCTGTAAATTATGTTTAATTCTAAAATATTCACTGGACATCATCCATCCATAGTGAAGTGAAGTGTTGCGACTGGCATCGATCTTTCACCATCATCGTTTCCTGAAAGGATAATTGCAGACATATCAACTTCATCCTCATGTAGCCAATCAACATCCCCTGAATGTGCATTTTCTCTTCGGGTAATAACTGCCATGAGTTCTCTCTGCCTTCTAGCAGCGATTCTCAAAGGACTGATGCGTTTTATCTGAGTTGATTCTGGAACAGTTTTGGTTGGCACATTCTCCCGAGTCCGAGCTCTGTGTTTTCCTGAATGTTTCTCCGACATTGTTTGTGAGGCAAATTATAAGTGACATCTTTGCAAATTCGATCAAGTAGGCTGATCTGCAAAGATGGACAATAAAGATCATATAGTTGTTCTTTGAAAACTCCTGTTGATCTCGGCATTTTATACATAAAACAAGGCTTCGCAACAGCATACTAGCGCTCCTAGCGAGAGGAATCGTGAACAACACATTCTGGAGATACGCATTTCATGCTATTTTGACATAAAACTAATTCAAATGTTTCAGAAAATTTTGGAAAATTGTTTTTAAGGCAATTAAATTCTACTACAAAAATAAAAAAAATAAATTAGAAATAAAATTTTAAAAAAATAAATGTGTGACACTTTCTTACACCCCTTCCCCCCCCCCCTCCTTCTGGACGTACTTTATGGACGGCCCCCCCTCCCCCCGCCATCATTAAAACCTCCTTCTTATCTAATATAAAGTTTTAAAAACTAGAGCAGTCCATTTAGAAATTGTAGAGAACCTTCAGGATTGCAGAAATGGTCTCCACTCTCATCTTGTTTCTTTCGTCCGTCCATTGAATTCTCATGAGCGAAAAGATTCTTTCAGTATTTCCATTATGGACAGGGATCACAGCGTAGGCAGAGTGGTGGAGGAGGAACAGATCACGCGAGCCCACTTCACTACTCAGGAGGCACTGGCTACACAGCTAGCCAAAATATTACTTGAAGCTATATGCTATTATAAATTATGAAGTTTTAGTGATTTGAAAATGTATTTGGTTTTAGAAACGGAACATTTAGGCGTCTTTTTCGGGACGCCGGGTGCGATCGTGGAAAAAACGGGACAATTCCGTCTGGTCACCCTAATCTAACTATAAGTTGGCCTACCTTGACGAATTGCCAACCGGGTGAGCTCATAAAAACCCGCCCCCTTCTCACACACATAAATTATTTATATGATATTTATAAATCCCAAAGGTGCCACCCATGCCCATGGCGGTCACCCCCTTGCCCCTTCCTAGGATCGCCACTGCAATATTAATTAATAATCTGACTTGCATTGGCTTGGCATGATGTACGAGTGGGTGATGGAAAATTAAATAAAATATGCAGTTTAATTATTATAAGGTTATAATTATCCGTGTGTCACGTCTTTGGGCTATTAGAGCGGCGTGATATAAAGGGGGATCACAGAGTGTTATCACCTATTTTGGGGTAGCTAGAGCCAAATTAAATGCTATAATTTAGACATGGGTTATTTATTTTTTCAAATTTAACTTAAACTTCACATTTTCCTTTATTTAGTGTGACCTCACTGTCAGGAACTGTTATTATTGTTATTGTTCCGGGTAAACTTTTATAATTTATATTAGAATAAAAAATGGCGACCACCAGGAAAACATCTCGGTTGAAGTCAACGACATTAAATAATGATAGTAATTCTCCATCTCCAGTTTCAAAAAGACGAAAGTCTAATAGCGTAAGATATAAAATTTTGTACCAACAAACATTATCATTAAATTAAACCAAGCTAGCTTTTTCTAGTTGCTAAATTACCAAGTTGAATATTCAGGGCAGGCTACTCTACTACTACTTGCCTCTACTGTAGGTACTTTGATTAGAAAATTAAAACTTTTTGTAAAAATAAACCAATGGCATAGTTCAATAGAGCTAATTTTTAAAGAATTTTAACACCAAAATCATATTTTTAAGTTTTAGTTTTAAAGTTATGAATTTTTAAAGTTCGACTTTTTTTGTCCTTTTTTAACATGGACGGCATCTCCAAATTATGTGACCCAATTCTGTTGTTCACGTTACGAACTCTTTTTTCAATGATAATTTTATTTTCAAAACTAATGCTGTATTTAAAATAATTTTAATAATGTTAACAATTATAAATAAATTTATGCACCATTTATATCAGTAAATGTAATAAAATAGTAATATAATGTATAAATATATGGCTTTTCTGTTCACCAAATCTACAACGTCCATTATACCGATATATGCTATTTTCCTATATAGTCTATATAAGGAAACTCATGCCCTAATTACTAAAATACTGTTTGGAAACTATTGAACTTACAACTTTGGTTCATGACTAATTAATTACAGTTTTCTCTGACCTAGTTTAATAGTTTTTGCACACGGCGTGACGCGGCAGACTTTTATGAATGAAAACTCGAGATAGTAGTAAATAATAGCCATTATGCAAGTAGGGAATGGCCGACATGATATTTTGCACACAGCAAATTATGATCATTTATAATAATGGACTCTGGCCGGGTTTTTTAACCTCAAATTAAAACAATATTCTTTCAATAACATTTAAGTTCATTCCAAAACATAAGTTATCAAATATTTTGATGTAAATAGTATAAATAATTGAATATTTCCTAAGTAACGGCGTCTTCCATCAATGAAAGGGCCCGTGGCCCCTTCCTTATCGAAATTAAGCTGAGCTACATTACCATATAGGGATTTACTCAAATGAGCATAACAAGTGACCGACATGTCCTAACTCAATGAGAATTGACACAAATACACATCGATAGATAATATAGAATAAAACTTTTTTTCAAAGACATAAAAGTTGGACTTCTATACGAATTTTATAGTGAAAGATGCCTTATATTTAAAGGGGAATCTCAAAATACAGGTCGATTGAAAAATTAAAACAAATTAATGTAAATGTAGGCCAAGATGTCTACCTAATTATAAGGCCGGAAACGGAACTCAAATATATGTCGAAAGTACTCATTTAATAATAAATAGACACACACATCGGAAAATGAAAAACTCAGATTTTTCGGCACCAATTTCTATTTCCGATACACAAAAAGTAGTAGTCTCCCTTGTTTCATCGAAGTATCTATCTACTGCTAGCTACTAATACTTAAAATACTATCTTATTACTAAGTCACTACCTGGTTACACTTAAAAGTTATAACTTCAAATCTCACTTTTCTTTACCACTTTGTGAATATGATTCAAAGTTTGAATTTGTTTGTCCTTTTTTCACTATGGACTGCATCTCCACATTTTGACTCTGTGACCTGATTCCACTGTTTTACCCTATATTATATTAGGTACTTTGATAAAAAAATTAAAAACTTTTTGTAAAAATAAACCAATGGCATAGTTGAATTTTTAAGCTAATTTTTAAAAGAATAATAACACCAAAATCATATATTTAGCTATTGTAGTTTTAAAGATATGAATTTTTAAAGTATGACTTCGTTTTTCCTTTTTTAACATGGACCGCATCTCCACATTCTGTGACCCAATTCCACTGTTTGCGTCACGAGCTATGTAACTCTCATTTTAATGATAATTTTATACGTCTTTTATTTTTAGAACTAATGCTGTATTAAAAAATAATTTTAATAATGTTATACAATTATAGATAAATTGTAGCTTATCTAACTATGCAATATGTATATCAGTAAATTTAATATAATGTATTTATATATGAAATATATGGCTTTTCTGTTTACCAAATCTATGGCATCCATTATACTATAGATGCTCTTTAGTCTATATAAGGCAATGCTCTAATTACTAAAATGCTGTTTGGAACTACTTATTTTGAACTTTCAACTTTGGCACATGACTAATCAATTAAAGCTGACCAATGGTTTAATAGTTTTGCAAACGGCAAACTTTTATGAATGAAACTCTGAGATATAACTACGTATAGCCATTATGTAAGTGCATGTGAATGGCTGCCCATGGTGTGACAGTTTGCACACTGAAAATTATGATCATGTATAATATGGACTCTACTGAGTATTTTAACCTCAAATTAAAATATTATTCTTATGATAACATTAACATTTAAGTTCATTCTAAAACATAATTTATCAAATATTTTAATGTAAATAGTAGTAATAATTAAATATTTCCTAAGTATCGGCATCTTCCTCCATTACAAAGGGGTTGTGGCCCATGCCATGTCGAAAATATGCTGAACAACCTTATGGTAATGCAGGTTACTATGACAAGCCTAGTGAATGTCAGACTCAACCTACATCAATGAAAATTGGTACACATATACATCAATATACAATGCTTTTACAGTTTTAATGTGAAAGTGCTTAATCATTGAATTTCTATAAAAAATTTTGAGGGAAAGATGCCTTATATTGACATACCATTTTCCTCTCTTAAAGTTGATTTAAAGAACAAAAAAACTCAATGGGAATGTAGGTCAACATTTCTCCTAATGGGAATGGGCGGAGTCAAACCTTAATTATGGGCCAAAAGGACTCTTGTATTATTAAAATAAGACTCAAATAAAAGTAAAAACTCGGATTCCTTTGAGCCGAGGCCCATTTCCGATACAAATTTTCTAGGAGTGTCCCTTGCTTCGGCGAAGTACCTAATATTATATATCTCTTTGTTTTAATGATAATTTTTTGTAACTTTATTTTAAGAATTAATATTATACTGAATACTGTATTAAAATTTCTCATTATAAAAAAGTAATTTTAACAATATTAAATAACTTATTCATAAATTTAACACATGGAGCTATGTACAATGTGTTATCAGAAAATTAAACATATATGATTTTGCCGATATTGCTATTTTATTTACCTATACTAAAGAGTCTATAATACTTATCTAGTCTATATAAAGCAACTTGGCACATGACAATTAAAGCCTTTCTTTACCAGTGGTTTTATAGTGTTTGCATTTGGCAAACTCTTATGAATGAAACTCTGAGAAAAATACTATATAGAACAGCCATTAAGCAAGTGACTGAATGGTATAACCCATGACAACATATGCACACAGCAAATAATGATAATTTATAATATGGACTGCAATAACATATAATTTTCAAAATTTCGAGTTGATTGAAAAAGCAAAACAAGTCAATGGAAATGTAAGTCAAGATGTCTTCTGAAGTGAAAGGGAGTAAATGGAAGGCAATTATATATCAAGAGCACATATTCATGAATGAATTGACACTCTTTTAAAAAAAAGGCAGATTTTACTGCGCTAACACCCACTTCCATGCACATTGCGTAGTAGTCTCTCTTGTTTTACCAAAGTACTTATATAGTAGATGTAGCAGCTGTTCTGTTGCTTGTACTTGAATCTGGGAGTTACTCTGAACTGAGTGCATTTTTTTTTTGTTGCAATAAGACATACTTTTTTGCTATATATGTCAATAACTAATGGATTAGGCACACTGACAGTTGTATCCACAAGTAGTTTAAAAATTTTTAAAAATTGTTTCAGTTTCAAAAATAAAAAAATAGCCTGTATTCATTTTTAGAAAATAAGATGAGAATGTTACAGAAATGAAATTTGTGCCTGGCTTGATCAGTTTTTAACTAGGCCCATCTATACATCTTTAAAACATGAGTCATGAGTTTGTGTATCCTATTTTACTTTGGTAACTCACTGTCTCAGTGTCCATTTATTTCTGATATTTTACCCTCATTTTGCCAATCTAATCTGTTAATTTAGTTTTCATTCTTCTTCGTCTTTATATTAAGGGCCCACGATCAATTTATTGATCATTTTGGCTCCTATGCAAGTAGAGGGGATTTGCAATGTTTCTGTGCCTGGTGTTGACGAGGATATTTCACTGATTCCGTCAATTCAATTTTTTATTTATGTATTTTGAAATTTGAAGAAGAAAACAACGAAAATATTTTTTATTTACATATAATTTTGTGTTTCAGAACAATTTTGGAGTGCCTTCTTTTTACTGATTTGCTTATGTTCTAGTTATTTCTGTTTTATTAATTAGCAGCTTATTTTAAAAAAATGAGTAACTAATTTATTTATGTCTTGCTCAGACCTTTTTAATTGGTCACGAATGAATTAAATTTTTTTTATAGATTTATGGGATTGTGTATGGATGATCACCTAATTATCTGTTATTTAATTTCATCAGCCTTTGGTTGTGGTGCCTCCTACTAACATTATAGTCCAGGAAGACACTGACAGTTTTATATTACCAGAAGATGCTGAGTTAGCGGAGGAAGTTGTTGTAACTGAAGATGTCATAGCCACGATAGATGACACACAGTCCGCATCTGATAGTCTGACAGATTCCTTATCATTGGTTCAAACGACGGTCTCAGCACCAGGTGGTAATTTGGTATCTGAAGACACCACAGATTCAGATAGACCAAGTTCAGCTTTTGTTTTTAAAGATCCTAATTTCGTTGTGAGTATATTATTCTTTTTTAGTAGTCTGCAAATTAACCAGTAAATGATAATAAAGCCCTCTCAAAACAGGAGTGGAAGAAAAAATATTCTGAAATTTATTTGCTTAAAATTTCACTATTAATAAACTATAAGTTTGTAAAATTTAGATATTCACCTAGTTTTGTAATTAAAATTCAAACATTTAAACAAATTAAAATGAATTAAGAAAATATTTTATTGCAAAAGAAAATTTGAATTGCATTTAATTTTTAGAATGCTGATATTTACAATTTTATAATAAAAATATTTCTTGTCTGAGTAATTTAAACTTCATGCTATTCTAAGACCACCATATGTGAGGCTGAGCTTTTGAAGTGCAAAAAATATTGATTTTTACTTTACAGCATTCCAGCAAAGGCATCGGTGGAAACAAAAGAATTAGAGTGTGGAAAAACCTCAAACAAATAGTGGCAGCTGAGAGAGCTTTGCCTTGGAGACCAAATGACGTGACCTGTGGGTGTATATGTATTGACTTTGATATGTCTTATTATCCAGAAACTCAGCATTTCTTTTTAATCATTTCTTTTGCCTCTTGACACTGTTTATGAATGCCACCTATCTAGGGTGTGAGGTAGAAGTGGGCAATGGTAACACAAGACACTGTTTATCATGGCAGTGACCTTGTCCTTGTTTAGCAACTGGCCAATGTTTGTTTTATCTTCCTACCTGTCGGCCAACACTGCTTATATATGCTGTGAAGATTTTCACATTCTGTCTTATTCCTCTTCTCACAGTGCCAACTTATGCATTTTTCTTATATCATTGCTTGAAATAGCATGAGAAAACAAATGACACATTGAAAATAGTGATTCATCATAATTGCAAAATACCTTAAACTTATTTTCATTCGTTATTCCATTTATAATAAAATTTGTAATTACTCCATTAGTGAATAAAATTTATTGGTTGGTTATTAGATGCTTTACTCAATAAGCTGATTTATTCATATCACCAACCATCTTTAATTGCCAATTAATAATAATTAATAATAATTTGTTATCATCTTTTAATGTATTTCACAGATGGTTCAATTGATGCTCCACCCTCCTTCAGGCCAGCCAAAAAATATTCCGATATTTCAGGACTGGAGGTAAATTATGAGACCAGTAAATCAATCTTAAAAAACTGTTTAAATAAAAAAGATGCTTTGAGGGTTTGTAAGATATTTAAATTTAATTAAAAAAAATCAGTTTAATAATTTAGAGAAATATTTTATTGTTATGTTCCGTGTTTTTATATCTTTCACAAGAAAAAAATAAGTCTGCCTGCTGGTGCAATAATGTTGCCTGCCCCTTGACCCATGGGGAGTTTTGTTATCCAAAGCTGAGTCATTATCTGTGTGGAATGGATTTGGTAGTAAAATAAATGGAACATGTAAACTCTGAGTAAAAACATCTCAGCCATTAAAGTGGGATTAAACTATTGTTTTTGGAAAATGAGCTTTAGTTTTTCAAACGCAGCTGTTGGATTGTAAAAGTATTTTTTTTTTTTAACTGACTTTATCCACATGTAATTTTTTGTAATGGAAAACAGCTCCTAAATATTTGTTTCCTTTAACGTAATCACTTATTTAATTTTCAGGCTAAATACACAGATCCACAAACCAAGATGCGTTTTGCCAACTCAGATGAGTACAGGAGAGTCAAGTTATTGCCCAGTGATATTATTACAGGATGCCTACAACTGAGAAAAGCTAATACTCTTATTCCTTGAATTTACCCATGTTTTTTTTTTATTTCCTTCAAATGAAATATATATTGATGCACAGACTTCAAAATTTTTATTGTTTTATTTAAGCTGGGTTTTATGTCTGATGGTCTCGATCAAATCTTAAAATCAATTTTTATCTCATTGATTTTCTAGAATTTTTTACACAAGAAATTTTAGTGATAATATCATAACTTCATTAGTATTTAAGTATTTCCCTGAGGGACATTAGGTGGCCTCCACCACCCATGAAGTCAGAAAAGTGTTAACAGCCTACATCACTACATGAAACAATGCTCATGTGCAGTTTTGCATAAGCGAAATACATTACAAATTAAAAAACAACCAATTTTTTTCTGCAGTTAACAAAATATCTGAACACATCAAGCTCAAGGTAAAAAAATTTGAATACAACTTTATACTGTGTTGCTCAAACAAAAAAAAAAGAAAACAATATTCTTCAGCTGCACATTTTTATTCATATGTGACCAGAGGCGTAGAGAGGGTGTTAGGCGCCCGGGGACAAGATTCGCGTCCGGGGACAAGATCCATTTTAAAGCGCCCTTTTTTTCTTATTTTCAACTCTCAAGCCCATTATTTTCATCAAAATAATATCAAAGCACATTTTGGCGCCCCTAACTAGCTGGCGCCCGGGGGACATCTATCCCCCCCCCCCTGCCCTCCCCCCTCACTACGACTCTGTATGTGACTAAAAAAATTTGGGGGCCTATAAAAAAGAATCCCTTCAGTAGATCTGACAGGGATATTTAATTTGTGAGCATACTGGTGGGTTTTTGTTGTTGAAAGAACTGAGTATAAGAAGTTGAAAGTAAATTAGTTTTGAAATGTACCTGCAACACTTGTAGTGACTAGAGAAATTAGATCAAATGTCACTGAACTGTAGTCTGTAAAATGTCAGTACTTTACCTTCATGTTCAGAAGAAAACCCATAGTAAAAAGTAAAAAGCTCACATGAAAAAAACATGTAAAGAAAAAATGCACAGGAATGTTCACATGAAACATTTTTGCTTGTTCCAAATGATAAGGAAAATTAAAGGATACAAAATATATCTCCAATTTTATTTTCATCTGTATTAAACAAACGTTATTTGTTTTATCTGTTAACTATTAATGAGAAAATATTATCCAAAATACATGTAGTTTAATTTTTTACTAAACATTGAATATTTCCTAATAATTAGTTAATTAAATGCTTAGCTATATAACAGTAACAGTATGAGTCAGCTCCCCCCACGTAAAAATTTTTTTTTAGTGTGTGTTTGAAATCTATGCGGAGTTTTCTCAATGCTCTTTTCCAATGTTTTTTTTTTTGTTTCATTTCCCGGTATAAAGCTACTCGTCTATGTTCTCTTTTAATTTTATGCCTGTGATTTTTTTTGATGTGGTTTTAACTTTACCGAAGGGGGGAGAACAAAGATATTACGAAACGAGAAAATGTTTCATCACATAATCTCCCATGGCCCGATTTAAGTAAGTACCGTCCTCTTTAAATCAATTACTAACATAATCTTAAGTACCGGTATATGAATGATTTGTTTTAAAATTAATGATACAATACAAAATTAGCAGCCAATGACACAATAGTTTAACTTTTGTTAGGAAGTATTTCAACACGTGTAAATGGATCCGAATTCACCGTGGTAAACCGGTGGTGGTCTTGGTGTGGTCTACAGTGACAAGGCACAAGGAAGTAGGCCACACAAAAATTCAGACGCTTTATTTTTAAAGGTTAAGGGTGGGTATGTTTACCGGGCCCGCTCATTTAATGACCTACATATTTTGGGCTAAACACCTCTGATGAGAATTAGAGGATATTTGTTACTGTTATTGACTACTACCAGGGCCGTTATATTTGTTGTTGCGGGGTTCCATGCCTTCTCAAAAGATATTCATTGAAACGATCGACTACCCAGTGGCAAGTCCATTTGAAATGTTATTGCTATTATTATAAGATGCTTTAGGACTAGGCTCACTGCCCATATCATGACAACGCTGATGCATATGTTAGGTCAACATATCTTCGAGGGCTTACAGTAATGCTTTAGCGAACAATAACACTTGTATAATTACATATACATCAGAAATTTTATTTCCCTAGCAAAATCGGACATGGAGTGTTTCGGATAGCAATGTTTTCGAATAGATGAACACTGCCATGGAAAGAAGTTAGTATGATATATGTATATTATAGTCTTACCTTATAGATTATAGATTAACGTGTATAATGCTTGATAGTGGCGTTTTTCCCTTTTGTTTGAGGCCGGATTTCACTTTTTATCTATGTGGCCCCCATTCCTGTTATTAATTTTTTTAAAAAGTTTTTCATTTTTTTTTTAAAACGTCCATCCGCCGAATGATACTGTCCGGTGAGGACTGACTGCTCTTTTTCTTTCCGCGAACAGAGTTCGTTTACATAAATAGATTACTAGAACTTAGAGTAAAAACCAAAGTTCCTTTGCCTTTGTATGTGTTAATTCTGAAAAAATATTACGGTAATTTATTTTTTAAAAATGTAGTTCGCAGTATCGCAGTCTGGTCACTGCATACATCTAGATTTTATCTGGATTGTGCGACAGGGTCAGTGGTTTTTTTGGTCCTTTTCTTTCATGGTATTTGTTATACGCCAATGTCCCATGCCGATATCCCATGCCAATGCCATGCCCATGTCCCATGCCAATGTCCCATGCCGATCCAATATCCCATGCCAATGTCCAATGCCATGCCCATGTCCTATGCCAATATCCCATGCCAATGTCCAATGCCATGCCAACATCCCAGCTTTAAAAATGTCTAATCTATATCTTAGTTATAACTTCCAGGGGACTCAGCTTTAAAAATGCCTAATCTATAGCTTAGTTATAACTTCCAGGGTACTCAGCTTTAAAAATGCCTAATCTATAGCTTAGTTATAACTTCCAGGGTACTCAGCTTTAAAAATGCCTAATCTATAGCTTAGTTATAACTTCCAGGGTACTCAGCTTTAAAAATGTCTAATCTATAGCTTAGTTATAACTTCCAGGGTACTCAGCTTTAAAAATGTCTAATCTATATCTTCCCATATAGTGTAATTATCCTATCACTGCCACTACCCACCAAAAAGGATCTCTGCTCATAATTACATTTCCCCCATCTCTCACGCGACAAGTCCCAGGGGGTAGGGAGGGAGGGCCGAGCTCGTATTTGCTGGACATCGTGTAAAGACACAGATGTTGGTCAACTCATTTCAGAGAGGAGTCTCTTGACCCAAGTGGCGTGGGCGCGCATATCGACCTTTTAGTCCTTCCGGCTCCCCCTCCCCAAGTCATCGTCCAGCCCCATTTAGCTGCTGACCCATGGTCACTGGTGTCCTTCACCATCAAACCATCATTTACACCATCTATGAGTGTCGTTCACCATCTAACAATCATTTCCACCATCTACGAGTGTCGTTCACCATCAAACCATCATTTCCACCATCTACGAGTGTCGTTCACCATCTAACCATCATTTCCACAATCTACGAGTGTCGTTCACCATTAAACCATCATTTCAATAACCTACAAGGTTTATTCTGGGGTAAACAAAATGTACTTTAAGCATCACCATTCCCCACATTCACATAATATCCGTAGTTTTTTCTTTGCACATGCGCATGGCGCAGTTTATATTTTTACACGCAAGTACATCAATACAGTTGAGATGAGTGTATTTGATATTGATAATATATTACAATAATTCTCTATGTTAGAAAGAGAGTATGGTTCAATAATGAGATCAATAGCGCGCAAAATATAATTCCCGCTAGCTACGACATTGATATATATATATATATATATATATATATATATATATATATATATATATATATATATATATATATATTTATTTATTTATTTATATATATATATAAAATAACATATCTGCGTTTTGTTATATATATTTTTTTTTAAGATCAATAGCGCGCAAAATATAATTCCCGCTAGCTACGACATTGATATATATATATATATATATATATATATATATATATATTTATTTATTTATTTATTTATATATTTAAAATAACGCATCTGCGCTTGGTGCTAAATATTTTGTTTTTCAAAAAATGAAATCATCTCAATTTAAGTATGATGTAAAAAATATTTGGTTTAAAAGTGATTGGGACATCACAATATATAATAATATAAAACTAGTTATAGCCCGCCAAACAGTGGCGACGGCATTGCGTGACCTTCCCATCTACTGAAGTTACTTGACAAAACATGAACTCAAGTATTGCACATTAATGAATTCCAATTTTTGTTATACCCTTCTTCCTTGAAACATCACTGCACACTTTTTATTTGTTTTTTTTTAAAATGTAATACCATAGGATTTAAAGATATTGTCACCCACGTAGTAATGTACAGATCTATTTCCTACCTCCGATATGAATTTACCCAAGAAGGTTAATTAATTATCAAATTCATTCCTTTATTTTTGCCTGGGGCAAAGTGGCCAACCCCTCCCCCACCCAGATTTAAATAAATTTAGAATATCTTCCACCGCATTGTAGTCCCTTCCATACCCAAACTAACATATGTTGCACTTCATATGGTTCGTTCTTATTTGTATGAGGTGTAAGTTGATTAGTGTATGCTATTTGGCTATGGAGTTGCGCTGCACTGATTGACTTAAACCGCATTTTCTTATTAGAATTATATTTAAAGGTTCGTGTTTATTAAGTTATAAATTTAATAAAAGTATATTTTTGGAAATAAAAAAAAAGGCAAAACTTTTTAAATGTAAAAATATACAAAGCAAAAATGTCCATGTGTTTTATTAACAATTTAAAAGGTAATCAATAATTGTATTTATTAAGTTTACTTTTAAGAAGGGAAAATACATTTTTAGTTTTGTCACGCGCCTTTATTAAATTTAAAGAAACCTAAGAGTTTTGGTGAAATAGGCTATTCGCACTATGACTTCATTTGCGTGATTATTTAGAACAAATTAATGTTAATTTTCTTTCGCAATATTAACGACGCACTAAAAGACGCACTAAAAACGACTGGTGCTTGGGTTTTCCCGATAAATGTGATTACGGTATAATTCTTTAATCATAATTTTTTAAAATATTTTTTGGGGATATTTTTTTTGATAACTTTCAAACCCATATAAAATGCATCAAATAGTTCCTTGTTTGTTACTTTAAATATATTTTTAATTTTAAATAATAAAACTTAAAATTTTGCTAAAATAAAAGCGGATGTAAAATAGTTTTTTGCGCATGTAAATTTATTCGATTTCCGTAAAATAATAGAAAATAATTATAATTATTTTTAAGAATCCGAACGTATCAAAATAGTTTCTCTCGTTTAGTGTTATGTCACTCTAGCTCATTCTTATATACTTGAATAAATGACCCGATGTTATCGGGTTAATAATGGTAGATCCTATGCGATAATTTCTAACTGGTATTGCAAAAACTCATCACAATTCATAACTTTAAAAATGTAATAATATTTACGTTTCTATCATCATTACGTTTTGAGAAGAATTTATCTGCTATACATTATAGGCCTACCCTACTCCTTTTCACGCTCCTAAACTACATTTTTCCCCACGAAACATCGCATTAAATTACACAACATGCACACAACCAAGGCCACGATTCCAGTATGACACCATATCAACATGCACACAATACAAATCACGTTTCAGTATGACACCTTATCAACATGTACACAGCCCAGGCAACATTTCCAATATGACACCTTATCAACATGCACACAACCAATGCAACGCTTCCACTATGACACCTTATTAACATGTACACAACCCAGGCCACGCTTACAGTATGACACCTTATCATCATGCACTCAGCCCAAGCCAAGCTTTCAGTGTGACACCTTATCATCATGCACACAACCCAGGCCACGCTTCCAGTATGAGACCTTATCAACATGCACACAACCAATACCACGCTTCCACTATGGCACCTTATATACATGTACACAACCCAGGATACGCTTTCAGTATGACACCTTATCAAAATGCACACAGCCCAAGCCAAGCTTTCA